TTCAAAGACGCGTACAAGCGTTTGAATGAAAAACGTAAACTTCTTCTGGTTCAGCATCTTTTTGGGGTCTCTTCAGGGGGGGATTACAGGCCTCGCTCTGGTTATTTAGATTGCGGTGGTGGTGTCCTTCTGGGTAACGCCCCACACGTTCCACCTTCCGAGAGGAGATGGGAGGGCAGATGTCTGCTTTTCATATTCTCTTCTTAAAATAAGCTGCTTTGGCCCCCCGATGCCCTTGAAAACCCAGTTACGTGGCCCGACGCGGCATCTTCTGCTGAGAACGTGAACTCAGGTGTGATTAAGCAGACACAGCCTGCAGGGGGGCCTCAGCCTAGCTTGCGGCTTCCCCCTTGCCCTCCCCGCTGCTCGTGCCGCCTGCCGCTCTCGGGGCTCGCCCGCGTGACGCTGAGCAGCCCTCCACGCCGTGTGCTCCCCACCTTTCCGTCTGTATTCCCGCCGAGGGCTGCGAGGGCGACGGCGGGCAGAGGCCGTACCGCCAGTGAGCCAGCGCCGCGTGGAAAATCAATGGTTCTTACCGCTAACCTTGCTTCTCTCTGCAGGGGAACTGGGATACTTCTGGCAGCGAACTGAGTGAAGGGGAGTTGGAAAAACAGAGGAGGACTCTTTTGGAACAACTGGATGAAGATCAATGAGAACATTATTTATACCAAATACGTTTACATTGTGGCATAATAAAAGAAACCAATGTCTAATTCCGGACATGGGTTCCGATATCCCGAGTTCCATTGTTGAAATAACAGTGGGTTTTAATTTTACCACGTAAATACATTCAAGTACTATTGTTACCGGCCCGGCATCAAATCTAGAAAAGTGAATGAAATTCTGAGTGCGAAGTTGCGTGTCTGTCCTGGACCTGCTAGGCAGGACGGGTGCCCTGCTCACCGTGGAGGGAGCCCTCTGAAGGGAACACCGCGACGGAAGGCGTCTCAGTGCTCGCTGGATCTTGTCTGCAGGCCCAGGGGAGTGTTGGCACCTTTCTAGCAAAGCATCTCTTTAAGTACGGTCCTTCCTAGAAAGGTAGCGACGCCGGTTTTCCTGGCCGGTGTAGGCAGATAAAATTTCATTTTTAGAAAGAGATTCTTAATATAGTTTCTTGTGGTTTAATTTGCTTTATGGATTTGTTTTTATTTTGGAAAGGGGAAGGCAAGGGCAGGGGAGTAATGAATCCATTTCTTGATCTGTACTGAAAAAAACCAACAGATACTGGAATTGCTCTTTTGTGGACTGCGTCACTGGCCAAACCCACGTTGAGCTGTTGTATGGAACAGAAGACTTGATTTCCTGGCTGAGATTCCTGTCTAAGTACCGTCTCAGAGCGGGTTTTTACGGTAAATTTTCACAGCCCCGGGACCGCGGTTGATGGGAATGCCGGGGGCCCTTCGTTGCGGCCCAGCCGCGGGGGGCTGGCTGGTGCACGCGCCCCGCCGCCTCTCGTCTGCCCCTAAAACCCCGTCCCGAACGGCTACGGGTGTTACTTCAGCCTTTATCTTCCCGTTAAGAAAATTAAAAAATAAAAATCAAGTTGTAAATGAATTTCAATGTCTTGCCTTAAGAACCTGCTGAAGAATGTACCGCCGCGTTTCAACAGCAGCCGCGTAGCCCTGTCTAGAACATCCCTTAAAAAGGGAAAAGGAAGAAGCTTAAGCCCCGTCTCCTTTTTGATTGCCTCCCACCACTTTGCTTTTAGGAAGGTTTTGCCAGCCCTGCTCGGTGAGCAGCAGTGGCTGCTGTGGTGCACGTCCCGAGAGCTCCCCTTGGAATATTTTTGTACATTTTTATCCATTATTAAACCTTGTCTGCTAGTGTGTACTAGTATTTATTTCTAGCTTTAAATACTCTCTACAGCTCTGGTAAATGATTCCTGTCTTCCGATTGTTGGATTTAAGCAACGTGCGCGCTCGCAAAAACTATTTGAAGACTATTTAGAGTTCAGCTTCCTTTTCAGTGCATTTTTTCCTAATGTCTGCCAGCTGTTCCAGTGCATAAACCCCCAGAAGGTCCAATTCACGCAGCGTCTTTCCTTGCTGGGGCGGTTACGTGATTCAGGCTTGTTCGTAAGAATGCTCTTGGAGATGGGGATCGGTCACTTGAAATCTGAACTGCTGGCGACAGCTGATCCGCTGCGCCCGGCGGGACCCCCGTGGCCTTTTCTAGTGAGGTGATGCGGTGCTCGCGGGATGTTCGGTCCGGAGCTGGCGTTTTCCAGCAGAGTGGACTGTGGTTGCTCATCGCCCATCACTGAGGGGAAAAATACCCGAGTTTGGTCAAACGGGACCCGTGGTAATTCTTTGTAGCCAGTGGCGCGTTTAACGTCAAAATCTGGGAAGCTGCTGAAGCGTTGGCAGCGGCTTTGTTCCAGGTTTCTCTCCCGCGGCAAGTGGCTCTCCCAGGCGCGGCAGGATGGACGGGAGTCGGTGCTCCCAGGACTACTTGCAGTCAGCCGAGACCTTACATAGGTGTTTCGCTAACCCTGTAAACTCACGTTCCTGGATTTATAGTTCAACATGGAAGCGCGTAGATGGCGTAGCAGGTCGCAATGCCCAAGTGGGAACCAGACCAACCGGTGGTTTAGGGAACACGAGGTGCACCGTTCATCGTGGCTTACGCGGGTTTCACGTTGACGTAGAGCTGGGCCCTGGGAAGGCAGAGCGTGCTGAGCTGACTTGGAACGCGACAGGTCACAATGGTTTGCAACCGCATTAGAACGTATGTACGATACTCTGTTACTGCCTTGCTTTTGCTTAACTTGCATCAGGAAAAAAAGTGTTTCTAAGAAAATGCTACTTTTAAAAGGTTTGCCTTTATTTTTCCATTAAAAATAAAAAAACCTAAATGTAAATCATTCTGATGGGGTTTTTTTGTACGTCTTCATTAGATCTCGCAAAAGAAATGCATCGTAAAGGGAGTCTGCTTTCAGAACAGTCCTGGCAAGTATTAATTTAGTTTTTAGGGAAATGAGTTCAGGCTTTTTTGCAGGGTTGGTTTTTTTTTTTTTTGTCATCC